CTTCTTTTGATCCTCTTGAACATGCGAGATATGCGTCGCATGATCTCATACACTTTCTAAGCGTATGCAGGCAGCTAACTTGTAAACAAATTTAGCGGCTGCCGCTGCGATTTAATCAATCTGTGAGTTTCAGCGACTTCAGCGTTTATCGGACGTCGCCATTTGTTCAGTCGGAAACTGCCCCAGCTTGCGAGTGATGCTTTGGTGTCTGGAGGTGCCTTCTGTGCCTACGCTAGTCCGACATGCAGCAGGGGCTTTCGCGGCAGCGGTTGCAGTCCCTTGTGGCGCACTCCCTAAGCAGCGTAAATGCACGCGTACCTGCTCAGGCACTTACGCACATGGAAGTGCACACATGAACACAGTGGCGCACGCACACGCCCACATCCATTCGGTTACGAATGCGTGCACGAAAGGAAGCACATGCTTGCGCAGGCACGGGGAGAGGAAAGGCTTTAGACGCAGAGATTCGTGTTTAGTTAATTCATGTCAACTCCCGTGTAAACGGTTCGGAGGAGGTAGGGTTTCTCCGGAATCTTGGTGAGTATAGTGTCCTATGCGGATGCAAGTAGTGCAGACCCCACTTCACATGAGGCTCTCCGGTGGCCGCTTCAAAACCGCGAATGGCTGTGAAGAGCTGTGACCATCTGTGACCATGAAACGGGGATGACCTTGTTCCCGAACGTCCGTCTGACTGTCGCAGCATGACTGCAATCTGAATCATTTGTGATACCGAACCCTAAACCCCGTAAATCCTTAATGTGCCTAAACTCAAAACTCCACATCCGAAAGCCACACACCCCTGCGACCAGGCCACGGCCTCCTCGGCCACGAAGAGAAAGGCGAGGAGATTTGGAGATAACCGGGTTTAGGGTCTGAGAAGTTCGGACAGGTTCAAGCCTTGTGCATGTGACAGTAAGTTGTAAGCTGCTAGCCAAGGCCTGTTGATACACGGATACGCTCGGTCGCGATGAGTGTTCAGTCTGTTGCATTCGGTCGGCGTAGTACATTCTGTCCTGGCTACAGTAATGCCGGGACGGCAGCGTATCCTGGCCCTGATGACATCTCACATCGCTGTATCGCTTCGTGCTCGTAGCCGTCTCACACGGGACAGGAGTCGAAAGTTCTGCTTGGAGGTTCATGTGTAGTTATAAGTGGGGTCATAAGTCCCCTTATATGGGTAATAATTAGAGTTACCCTACTTATAACCCTACATATAACTACCCATGAACCTCTGGCAGGATCCTTTCAGAGTTTAGGAGCTTTCTAGCTTGGAGAGCTTCTAAACCTAGGTAGTATTATTAGGGGTCCTCTTAAAGGGTACCCCTTCTGAACCCTACTTGTGGCTCTCTTAAAAGGGACCTTATTGAGAGGGTCTATATCCCCAAGAATCCCCCTAATCCTAGCTCCCAAAACCCTAAACCAGCAAGCTCTAAACCCTAAACTAGCAAACCCTAACCCATATAGCCCTCAACCCATATCCCTAAACCCTAAACCCATATAGCCCTAAACCCATATCCCTAAACCCTAAACCCATATCGCCCCATATAGCCCTAAACCCATATCCCTAAACCCTAAACCCATATAGCCCTAAACCCTAAACCCTAAACCCTAAACCCTAAACCCTAAACCCTAAACCCTAAACCCTAAACTAAACCCTAAACCCTAAACCCTAAACTAAACCCTAAACTAAACCCTCCTCAGCTTGTGCAGGCGGAGGCACCTTTGAAGGCCCGGCTCTCAGATTTTCTCCAGGCTTTCGGGGCCGAAGATCTCCATCCTGATGAGGGTTTAGGGTTTTGGGTTTAGGGTTTAGGGTTTAGGGTTTTGGGGGGGATGAGGGCTCAAGTTCAAGCTTTAAGCCTGCTAGCCTCCACTTTTTCCGAGCCTGTGCCCGGAGCAACCTCCACTGATTCCTGGTCTGCTGTACTTCGGGCGGAGCCCGAACCTCAAGCCCCAAATCAAAAGCGCTTGAGCTGCAGATCCTAAGGCTGGAGGCCGTCGGACGTGCCTGTTCCGTCTTTGGTCCTAAGTGTTCAGCATCTCGCCAGTCATGAGTCCCAAAACTGCGACTTGAAACGTGCAGGTCCCACGGCCCCTGACGCCAAACTCCAGTTGACCCGAAGCCCCGCACAATTTGGAGGTTCATGGGTAGTTATAAGTGGGGTTATAAGTCCCTTAATATGGGTTAAAATTATGGTTACCCTACTTATAACCCCACTTATAACTACCCATGAACCTCCAAGCAGCCTTTGCTGATGAATTGGCACGAGGGCGCCATGCAGTGGTCGAAGCCGTCTATGTGCACAGGTAACAATCGCTTAACTATCCGGGGTACTATTCCATAGGGTTTCTATCGATTCTATTGTAGTTATAGGATAATGGACACCAAAACCCCAGTCAGATTATTAAGGTGAAGGGCTTGGTCCCGCAGCTGCTGAAGCCCCCACTCCAGCGACCACAAAGGAGAAAAAGGAGAAGAAGGACAAGAGAGACAAGAAAGACAAGAAAGACAAAAAGGCACGTTCCTGCCAGCTTTAAAGGGCAGGCAGAAAAGCGTAATCGAGGGACCTTCGGAATCGGACGGGGCCGAAAAAGGTCGGTGCCGCAGGTGCTGGTTTAGGATCACTCTCGGGCATTTTGGGGGGCATGATCCAGAAGATCGTGCATGGGAATGGGTTTAGGGTTTAGGGTTTAGGGTTCAGGGTTTAGGGTTTAGGGTTTCTTCTTCGGCCATCATAGAGTCACGTCGGACGCAGGCAGTTTAGGGTTTAGGGTTTAGGCGGGTTTGGGGTTTAGAATGTCTGGGCAGCTTGGCATTGAGTCCTCAACTCCTCTCTGCAGTCTGCCAGGGGCTCCCTGGAGGCCCCCAAGACCGAAGCTGTAGGAACCTAAAGAAACCCTGAACCCTAAACCCTAAACCCTAAACCTGTAGGAACCCAGAGCCAGAGAAAGCGCTGCAGGGGTTCTACCGAGAAGCCTTGATCCCCTGTTAAACTGGGAGTTTCCGAAAATACGGGGTACCTTATTTTGGGGTCATAATAGGGATCCTACTATTTAGGGTACTATATTAGGGTCCTCTATTTTCGGAAACCCTTAACTGAAGAGGGGTCGGGTGTCAGACTTCTCCTCTGATGTAGGGGCCTTCATAGTTACACACATCATTTTGGGGGTTCCTTATTAGAGTTATAGTAGAATGGGCCCCAAAACCTTGTTCTAGATATTAAGGCCCCTACATTCTCTCGGCTCCTGTTCACGATCAGGAGAGGAGGCATGACAAGCTGGAGAAGAAACATAAGAAGGAGAAGAGGGAGAAGAGAAGGCACGCGCCGGCAGTGCAGGGGCTGCTCCTACGAGTACTACTATGCTGCTCATGGGTAGTTGTCAAAATTAGGGTCTCTTTTGGGGTACCCTAAATAATAGGTGCCGTATTATAATAAAGACCCAAAAAGGGACCATAATTTTGACAACCACCCTCATCCGCTGTCTTCTGAGTGCCAAAGCACTGTCCTTGACGAAGAGAGGGACAATTGCTTATGCTTTGGCGTGGTCTTCAATCTGTTTCCATGGAGGCGGACTGTCGAAAAAGCGACCCATTGCTGCTCTTCCTACAACTGCTGCCGCTATTGCTACTGCCACTGCTAATGCTACTGCTACAGCTATTGCTGCTGCTTCTACTGCCCCTACCATCGCCACCATTGCCAACGGCAACTGCCGCCTGGCCTAGCAATGCAGGTGGTGCTTCTGCTTCGACTGATGGTTGACCTGTCATTTCACCAGGTTGACCGGCAAAAGTTCTCCTACCAAAGCTGGTGAAGCCTCTTCCACCAAAGTAGGTGCACCGCGGGCTTTGGGGTCTCGCTGTGCAAGCTGGGCCAAGGGAATGTGGAGTGGGTTCACTGTCTGTTTCATGGCGGTGCCCAGGGGCTCCAACTTCCTGACCCCTGAAGATTGAACCCCAAAGTTCACAATTTCAACAGAACTGCTGAGGTTGCCTGAGCATGACAAGATTGCAGTTTAAGTGATGCGTCGGTGTTGACAGCTGCGGCATGACTTCGCGGATTGAACTTGTGGCAGTTGAAGACTCTTTTCAAATTAGTAAATAAATAAATAAAAAAATATATATATATATATATATATATATAGCTGTTTTAGCAAGCTTGATCTTGCGAACCCTTGCTGGTCCGGCTGTCCTCAAGAAGATGCTGCGTGCTTCTCTGAAGCTATGTAGAGGGCATTTTGTGGACTTTCGGAGAGACTGTGGGCTTTCAAAACTCCCGAAATGCAGGATCCCCGGCAGTTTCAGAGGGTTTTGGTGCCCGGAACGGCACCTCTCTCATTGCCAGCACTCTTAACTCTAATTTCATATTCTAGTGCGAGAGTTCCGAAGTAAGGACGTCACCACTGGATGGGGGGAGGGGCAGGAGACCAAGGCAGTGCACCACAGACTCAAAGACTCTCCTCTTGGAGGTTCATGGGTAGTTATAAGTAGGGTCATAAGTAGGGTAACTATAATTATAACCCATATTAGGGGACATATAACCCTACTTATAACTACCCATAAACCTCCAAGCTGACCCATTTTAGGGCAGAGGCTTCCCCGAAAAGGACCCCTCGGCGGACCTTAAAATGCTTCTGACCGGAAGGACAAGCATCCAAGTCCTCCAAAGACAGGAGCGCGCATCTTCGGGTGAACGAAACCGTCTAAAGATAAGACTCCCTAAGCCCTAAGCCCTAAGCCCATATAAAGATAAGACTCCCTAAACCCTAAACCCATATAAAGATAAGACTCCCGAAGCCCTAAACCCTAAACCCGTATAAAGATAATTAAGACTCAACGAGGCGCCCTTGGGCGGATAGATCCGAGACTCCAAGGGTCCTTGCTGAAGCTCCGCAATTTGAGCGAATTTCCGTTACTGATGTGTGCAGGACGATGCGAAAGGCCTGGTCAGAACATGAAAGCTCTAGTATGATGGTAGTGATAGCCATTCTGGCATGGCTATAAAGTGATAACGACAAGACCAGGAGACGTAGTCACGAATGAGGTGATTCACCTCTTGTCACGGGGTTTTATGATGGCTGCCCCCAGGTGAAGCCCATCCATTCCCAACCCCTTAGTCTGGTTCGAAAGCTCGACGGAAGCCAAGCCCCACCCTGAACCCACATCCTAGTGACCTGTAACCTGTAAAGCAACCTTCAGGCCCTCATAGTAGCCTCTAGATACTAGAGTTGTTCTAAGCCCCTTACATGAACCTCCAAGGCAACCCTAGGCTCCTTGCAGTAGCCTTCAAAGGCAACTTATGGTAAGATGTAGGGTAGCCCCTGAACTCCCTAAACCCTAAACCCTAAACCCTAAACTCCAGGACCCGCAAGGGAATCAATATCTCCTTTGGGCTGGCCAAGCTGCTGAAGCCAGGGCCTTGCGTCCTCCGCCCTCCCCCAAACACGAGCTTAATTATAGCCCTAGCTATATTCTTTGCATAATGTCTCATATTCAAAGATCGTCATGATTACTAGATATGACTCCGGCGATCATGACGATTATGATCTATGATGATCATGAAGATTTTGGTGAGGATGCTTTTGAGGATGATGAGGATGTTGACGACGATGACGATGGTTCTTATGGTGTTGTTGATTATTATGACTATGATGACTATGAGGGTGATGACGACGACAAGGATGTTAGTCGGGATTATGTCTGTGCTCATCTTAATACTCAGTATACCAAAGCCCGTGCCTTTGTGTTTTGCAGAATCCCTAGACCCTAAACCCTAAACCCTAAACCCTAAACCCTAAACCCTAAACCCTAAGCCCTAAACCCTAAACCCATACCTTCCCCAGCCCTTCTCCGGCTTAGAACCAGGCGGCTAGATTCGCTGAATGCCAGAGCTCCACTACCCTACACCCCAAACCCCAAAAGACCTCCGACACCCTACAGTACTTGGAGGTTCATGGGTAGTTATAGGTGGGGTTATAAGTCCCCGAATAGGGTTATAATTATAGTTACCCTACTTATAACCCTACTTATAGCTACCCATGAACCTCCAAGTACTGTATACACCCCAAAACCCTAAAGCTCAAACCCACTGCCCCTCCAGAACCGAGGAGCCCCTAACAAAAAAACATCCGACACCCTAAACCCTAAACCCTAAACCCTAAACCCTAAACCCTAAACCCTAAACCCTGAACACCCGTAACCAAGGAACAGCCAAGGCAAGACCAAGGCAGGGCCAGAAAAGGGGGGCGCCTTAACGCTTAGAGTCGGGTTCCCTTTAGGGTTTAGGGTTTAGGGTTTAGGGTTTAGGGCTACTCTACGGGTGTAGTATAGTGGCCGTTTAGAGCTAGAATGGGATTTAGGGTACAATGGGCCTGAAGAAGAGTATTGTTAGACACTGCGTGCCTGTGTATTTTTCCGCATGTAATGAGTGTTGGGGTTGAGCGACTTGGGTATGTCTCTTGATGAGCTTTTGTCTTATTATCGGGCGAAGATTCGGGTGTTTAGAAGGTGTTTTCCGTTTGGCTCAGCTCAGCCGGCTCGTGTCTGTCAAGTTGAGACTATTCTAGGCTTCAAGGGTTTACTTGGAGGTTCATGGGTAGTTGTAAGTGGGGTTATAAGTCCCCTAATATGGGTTATAATTATAGTTACCCTACCCTACTTATAACCACCCATGAACCTCCAAGTAGGGTTACAGCCTGAGCCCTCAGGGATCCTGGCGATTCCACCGCCTTCCGTCCCTGTCCGCCGACTTTCTGCTTCCTTTCTTTGGCTTGCCAGCCGGCAGTGGGGAGAGAGAGAAACTTCTTCAGAGACCTGGTACGTAGGAGATTACTGTAAACCCTAAACCCTAAACCCTAAACCCTAAACCCTAAACCCCTAAACCCTAAACCCTAAACCCTAGACCCCTAAACCCTAAACCCCTAAAGGTTCACAACCCGACTATTTCAGGCCAGGCCGGGTTTTGGGTTTGGGGGCCTCCGCTTGCAGGGCGTGAGGCCTGAAGTCCTTAGGAGGGGTTCAGGGTTCAGGGCTAAGACCTCAAGGCTTCAGGAGGGACCCTTAATAGGGACCCTTGTAGGTTATTGGGGTCAATATGGGGACTACCTGGCTATATATGGGGTATAGAAGGACTATACAATGGTTATTCAAGGTAATGGGATTAAGGGTCCCTATTAGGGGTCCTAAAGTCCTTAGATAAGAAGGTTCTTCGGAAAGCTCCGACATGTGCCCAGTCTGAGAAGCCCGTGCAGGGAGCGCTGTCAAAGAAAAGCAGTGCCAACGGCAAGAGCAGTGACAACGGCAGCAAGCAGGATGCTGATGGGTGCCCTTGCCTCGTTTCAAGCCGAGTGCGGTGTCTTGGGGGGATGTTTTTGTGGTCTGTCTCTCTGTGTGGGGCCCAGGTCGGGCAGAGCAGAGCCAACCAAGCAACAGCAGAAGCTTGAGCGATGCTACGCAGCGCATGTTCCCAGTTTCAGCATTTCGAGAATCTATTGCCTGGTCTGTTGGTGTGGCTCAATGTTTCAGATGCATATGGCAGGTTGTGGGTACGAACCGGAGACGGAAAGACGCGCCCCGGCTCCAAAAAAATCTGGTTCAGGTTCCAAGGATAGCCTTGGAACCCCTGAACCCTGAACCTTAAAAGCCGAAAGCCTAAACCCCGAAGCCCGAAACCTGGAGCTGATGCTGTTCATGTATGAGCCTCATGAAGAACACACTGCTTGTTGCGACTGAGGTTCTGACATGGATCTTATAGATTTCGGGTTTGGAAGCAGGGGCTTTTAGGTTCCTACATCATGGAATTCTGGTCGTTCTTGGTGTTGACTGGGGTCTCGATGGCTCAACCTTGGAGGAACACTGTTTGAGTTGGGTTTACCCTGACACAAACCCTGCACGGTGTATCTGTTGGGGCTTTACAGGGTTTTGGGCTTAGGGCTTTACGGTTTCAGGTTTAAGGCTTCAGGCTCTTTTGCCTTACTTGGAGGATCATGGGACTTCGTAAGCAAGGAATCGGAGTTAGTACAAGTAATTGTAAGTATCTTGCGTCATTTCTTTTTACGGGTGCCGCATGCTCGCAATTGGCCTTGGATCGCGTGGTTGTTCTCCGCCGGCTGGTTTCCCAACTTTGTCGGGGACATACCAGCTTACGTTGCAAAGTTTGGTGATCCGGGATCCAGAATGCACTAGCCGCAACAGCAACTGTAGTACTGTCCCTGACAGTAGGAGGAGGAGGCGGGCGGGGAGGGGGGAGGATGCGTCATGGTTTTCATCAAGCCTTCCTGTACCGTTTTGGGAGGTATGTAGCCAACAAGCCGATAATGAAAAGGTGCACATCGAAGTATGTTGGCGTCATCAAGTCCCAGAGCCGTGGGTCAGGGGCCAAGTCGGAAGCTTCGCATGTTCGGGGAGAAGGGTGATTATGGTGATGATGATGGTACCCAAAGCCTGACTTTTGGACGGCCGAGGGCTTTTGACTCAGAATTCAACTTGCTGCAGTAAGAGTTTTGTTTGTGTGTTGGCGATAGTCTTATGCTATCCCCATACCCTAACCATAAACCGGCCTGAACCCATACAGTGGATCTGCGACCACCTCGGACCTTGGAGGTGCGAGCCCCAGATTTCATCCGGAACTCTGAGCCCAGGTATCGAGTCCAGTTCAACCACGCTTACCTTGGCACCTGCGAGACGGAGCAGGTCTCATGGCCAGGTTTGATGGGATTATTGTGATGGTTACTGTTGCCATTTGCGTCTACTACGTGTTGGTACTGTTATTGCTACTGCCGCGCTGCTGCTGCTGCTGATGCTGCGGCT